TAGAGTCCTACAGAGGCTACTCCCCAATCTAAATGCATATGAAATACTCACATGCAACACATAAACAAGCAACAACCATTTCAACCAAGATTTAGCAAGTGTAAGTTGGAATCTAACATGTCATGCTATGATATGAGATGATACCAACTCATTCAACTCAACCTTAGCCCTCCCTGGCTCCTTTTCTCCCATGCAATGCCATGAGTATAAAAACTGATTTTCCAAGCCCCGCCATTGGCGTTACACACCCAATGACTATTTAAAAATCTCTGAGTCTTTCTTGAGGTGGGTGTTTATAGACTTACATCAACGGCACCCAACCGACATGGAATTTATAGACTTTCACTAACAATTCCGCATACATCGACACACTTTATGGGCTCTTATACCAACAGAGTGCGTATCCATTCACCGGGCCTCTCACCCGAAGGATTGTCTAGCCCTTTTTACTAACCCCGAGCCAATTTTCATGCAACCGTTCGACTCAGTCGAATTTTCAATCCAACTTTCCCAAGTCCATCCGTCAACCACCAAGTATGGTGTTTGATCAAATCATGCACACACCCATACCCACACTTATGTCTCATGCCCATGGATGCGATGCCTCTGTGCAAATGCAATGTAATGCACCATTGCTATATCAATGTCATATCCCATATGTAATGAATGTTATATGAGCAAATTTTACCACATTTTTACATATTCCATGGTAATTCATATTCATAGCATATAATTACCAATTCTATCACAATGTTGATATATCTATAAGCATACATCAACATTTTCATATCCAACAATACATCACAAGTATATTATTACATAATATATGCTAATAACACACTTTATTCACAAAAGATATAATTTAAACACATAACATGCCCACATAACACAAATTTTCATGTAATTACACAAATAATTACCACATACCAATTCTATATTAGGAATTTTTTTAAACCATTTCTATACTCGTTTTCATGCCCCTTTTAATTCCACAAACATAGGTAAGTGAATATATATTTTTACCAACCTACCTATTTCATCAATTTCACAAACAAAGGCAAGTGATATATATCTCTATCAACCCTCCCATTTCAATCTCACACCCTAGGTTATAAAATAAACCAAAGTAGGAAGGAACTCTACCTCTTGAAGCATAAAAACACGTTGGGAAGCTCCTAGAACTTAGCCCGAGCTCAAATCCAAGCTCTCCCAAAATCTCGTCTTTTTTACCTTCGGTGAAAGCCTTCATTTTTGGTATGGTTGCGTAGCCCACAATGCGAAGAATAACTTTCCGTCATGGCCCGAGTGGACTCAAGCACCTAAGATCCGTAGATCGTAGAGAGAAGGTAAGATTTCTCTCTCTTTCTCTCTTTTATCGGTGAACAGCTGAAGAATGGAGAGAATTATGATATTTCTTCCCTTTTATACCCTCAAAACACTTGGCCCACAACGTGCCACACGTCCTCTTTTTCCCGGAGTCCGTTTTCGACCCGAAACGATTAAATTTCGCCCCAGTTCAAGTTCAAAATATTTTCTTTTAACTTGACTTTAATTATTTTTCAACTTTCAAAATTTTATTAAAATCCCGTTTTTGGGTTATCCGAGACTCGACTGCCTCGTAAAATATAAAAATTTCGACTATCTCAGAATTTGACGAAAATTGACGGGGTATCTAGATTTCACGAGACGAATCCAACAGTGAGGTCCGTTTCGTCATCTGAGTTCTAAAAAAATTCAAGTTTACAACTCGTATCGTAGTGACAAATTACCATTTTACCATTTTTTATAAAAAATTTAAATTTACCCGAATTTTACAGGTTCACCATTTACTTGGTGTAACAACGATCAGGGCAGGACAAGGATGTGGCAGAGGGTTGATTAATGTGGAATGGGGAGAAAGGTTTATGAGTACAATTGTGGAACATGCAGGAAGAGGGCAATTTGACCACTGTCCACTGATTGTCAAGTTTGATGAGAATGTAACAGTTTCCAGAATCTCCTACTTCAAATTCCAGAATATGTGGACTGGACACTCTGGTTTTTTGCAGCTAGTGGAAAGTTGCTGGTCTGGTCAGTACTCTCCAAACCCGATTGAAAATTTCTTTTTGAAGCTTAAGTACTTAAAGGTACAGCTGAGGAAGTGGAATAAGAAAGCTTTTGGAAATTTCTTTGAGAATATTAAAAGGATTGAAAAGAGGTTTGCCCAAGTTGAAGAGAATTTTGACAGGGATGGTTCACTTAGCAATGGTCAAGCTCTGTTGACTGTTAGAGCTGAGTTGGATACATAATTAATTTCAACCACCATTGCATCACCACCACCACAAATCAAAACAGTAAACAAAAAACCTAAGTACGAAACAAAATGGGCCTTTTTGAATAGTGGCAGCATTAGAGGCAAATTTCTACATTACATGAAACCAATGGGGGAAAGTTTGTGAAAGTTACAACGAGGATTTATTCAATTGAGTCGTGAGAATTTCTAGTAAATTGTAATTATTAACTTAAAAGAAAATTTATTTTTGTTGTTAATAGATTGCATTTATTTTCAAATATGAATAAGAAACAAAAAAGAATAAATAACAAAATATAATTATTTCTTTGAGCTAGGGAGAAAATATAGCGAGAATAGAAACATCATATGCGATTAAGAAATGTGACTATACTTGCAATTTGTATGAAAAGACAATCTTAAATTAGTTGAGAAACTCTTACTTATATAATAAAGAATAATNTGGGGAGAAAATATAGCGAGAATAGAAACAACATATGCGATTAAGAAATGTGACTATACTTGCAATTTGTTTGAAAAGACAATCTTAAATTAGTTGAGAAACTCTTACTTATATAATAAAGAATAATACAATTCAAATCTCAAAAAATAAACAAATGATTTTTGTTTTTCGCGGTTGAGATATCTTTAAATTTTATTTTAAAATTAATTCGACGGCTAATATCAATACCTCAAATTTAATAGAGAAAATAGTTCTTAAGGATATGTTTATGGTAATTTTTTAAAAGTATTTCTAAAATTTATAACTTATCATAAATATTTTCTTTTAAAAAAAGTAATGTTTGAAAACGCCCCACTACCATCCCCACCACCACCACAATCACCATCGTCATCCTATATCACCACAACGACCCCAACCACCACCACCACACCCACTGCGCTACCACCACCCCCAACACCATCACGACTACCATCACCATGACCACCGCCACCACCTCACTATCGCCACCACCACCAACGCTGTCACCACCATTACTACTGCCACCCCACCATCACCATCACCACGCCTACCACCACCCTACAATCACGGCTGTCGCTACCCTACCACCATCATCGCCCCATCACCACCTCCACCACCACCACCGCCTCCACTACACCACTATCTCTGCCACAACAACCACCACCACCACCACCACCGCTGCTACCACTGCACTACCATCTCTACCACAACAACAACCACCACTAACATCGCACCACCACCACCAACACCCTTACTGCTCCACCACCATCCCCACTATCACACCCCCACCACCATTGTCGTCCCCATCACCCCCACAACCATTAGCTCTATCACCACCATCACCGCCTCTGCCACTATCCCACTATCTCCACCACCACCACCACTATCGCACCACCGTCGTCCACCGCCACCACCCATCACTATTGTCATCTCGTTCTTATATTTATTACCATTACCACCATCATCCCACTACTATCATCGCCCACTGTCAACACCCACCACTACCATTGTTATCCACCACTACCCATTATTGCAACCCACCACTATCCGTCGTCGCCCACCATCATTATTAGCCACTATCATCGACCCCCACCACACCTACCACCACCACCACCCGTCATCGCCCACCACTGCTGTCATCCACTACCGCCCACCCCACACACTACCACTATTCGCCACCACCCATTACACTATTGCCCAAAAGCATCCGTCGTCACCCACCACCACCATCATCACTGCTCATCACCATCGTGGTCGCCCCACCATCACCATCACCCACCACCACAACCACTGTTACCCATAGTTGCCACTACCAGCATCGTCACCCAAAACCTACCACTCTATCACTGTTGTTACCCATGACTGCCACCACCACCATAGTTGTCACCACCCACCACAATCATTATCATTTCCCACCACCACTACCACCGTTTACCCCCACTACCACTGCTCACCCCCACTACAACTGGTACTTAAATTTTTTTCTTTCTCCTCTATGTTTGTGATTTGATTTTGGGTGTGAATATAAATATATTTATTGTTGACTATTTTTTTTATTACTCCGTACTTTCAAGTACGAGAAATAACTAGTAATAATATATAATAACAATAATAGAGATAAGAGAAACCAAAATCTAAAAGTTGATATCACAATACATATAAAATAGTATAGTTGAAAGGGGGTGCTTTTAGTAATTAGTAGATGTATAAGGGAGTTTAGGAAGAAAAAGTGGATGAAATGAAAACTGGACGAATTAGTCTTCTGACCAAAAAAAAGAGTCTTCGTTTGACCTTATTAAATTCATCCTTTCTAAATTAGACGAAAAAGTGAAAGGAAAGATATGGCAAAACAAGTATAAACACTATTCTCGGATGAACAAATTAAGTATGAACAGTCTAATGTTCGGATCAATTCATTTGCACTCCTTACAAATAGTCACCCAATATAATGGACCCATAGGATAGATCCATACAGGAGTTACCCAATAGTCACACAATAATATGAACACATTTTTGCTTGTGCTAGAAACGTTGCTAACCATTTTAACTGACCTTCAAAATGTTTACAACCCCATAGAGATCAGACTGGAAGTTAATTTTCTGCAACTAATGGCTTATAATAATTTCACGTCGAGAAATTCTTACTGTACATTTATGAAACAACTGGTTGACCAAATAATCAATACAACTTATTTGAAAACATAATGTATTTATTTATAAGGAGACAAGTAAATCTAACTAGACTTCAAATCATGAGACTTGTAAAATAGAGCATATAGTCTGTATGATAGTCAAGAGAAGTAACAGCGTAACACCAAAAAGTGAAATGATGGACCATGTGCTGTTGAAATAATAATGCCTTAATTTTGCCATCCATCTAGGTCGACAGCATTTGCAGTAATCGTTAACCTTGTTGAAAACTTCTGAGTAACAGAAAGTTGTTCCATCTAGGATGATATTATTGCACAATTTGTTCAACATGGTCGAAAAGGCTTCATCATCACCTAACCAATTGTCAATGATTCCATGGTGATGTAGTATTTCAGCATCCTTGGGAGTATTGACAAGGCAATCTAAAAACGTCAAATAATGAGTCACATAAGCTGCTTTAGTACTGCCATTATACTGCTCATAAACAATCATATTTCTAAAGAGGACCTCTGTAATATCACCAATTCTCAAAGGTGGGATTTTGATTGAGTGAAGAACATCAAGGTTGAGGAAAATATGTTTCTTTGTTGGTTTGGATTTGTTGTCATGCCGAATAAGAGTACAAGGATAAAGAATGGGAGTTGATTTTCAAATAGCAATAAATGTTGATGAAAAATATTCGAGCAATGCTACATGGACTTAAAAAATAGACTTAAAAACTTGACTTAATAATTAAAACCATTGATTTCACTGTGAGTCCCAGCATTTATTGGGACCCATTACATATTCAATGGTTGAGATTATCAAGTCTAATTTTTAAATCCATCTAGCATTACTCAAAATATTCTTGAACTTTTGCAATTTTAGAATAGGGTAATTCTTATATGTGTGATCCTCAAATTTGCCAAATAACTTCATCATAAAGCACCCATCAAGAAGCATCATTCGCACAAACGCATCCCCCCCAATTCCAATGGACTCTGCATAAGATTTTCTTGCTTTTTCTTTTATATCTTGGATGACATTAATATATCTATCCACACTCGACTCATTTCTTCGCTTAAGCATCAATTGTAGGTACTATAGTTTATGTTATTTCATTATTTTTAGGTTAACTTTACCGTGTTGATAAGGATCGATTGTAAGTATTTCTGGTTCATAGACTTTCTCATTTTTCCTACATAGTGGACCATCCACCCTGAAGATGTAGGGCTCAAAGGGTGTCGACGATAAAGAAGCAAGCTCGTTGTTGATGGTATTAGACAACTGGCGGCTCATTTGCTATCCCTTTGAAATTAACAAATGCTGCGCAAACAAATACCTAAGAATTTTTCCAAAGATACCCTGTTTCTCATCCACGAATTCAAGTGAGATATAAAAACTACAAAACAAATTACCAAGAAAGATTTCAAATGAAACAAGGTTTGATATAATGCGAACTTGTAAATACACACAAGCGCTTAGAAGTCCCCAGCCCAGTAAAAAACATCACAATAGCTTTCCAATATTTGTAATTAGTTTTTTTTAAAGGGATGCAGCACAATGACTTCTTAGGGGATCACTCATTCTAATACTATCGCCCAAGCACGCTAAACTGCGGAGTTTTGATGGGATTCAGTGCATTAATGTTGGTATAATCGCACCCTGTTTGTAATTAGTTCTTTACTTTGAGTTTAGTTTTTGTAAATATATGCCGGTGCACCTTCGGTCATCTTTATCATATTTTTGTCCTTTTTAACGTGGGTAAAGGAAAAACAAAATATGGGTTAATGAGCAATTTGAATTATTAAAATGTAGCCAGATTTTAGTTGTATGAAATTTGAATATAGGGGGTGGAACTGTACAAATAATGTAAAATTTCTTCAAATTTGGGATAATTACATTTTAACCCCCTTGACTATGACTCTTTTCATATTATCCCCTCAATTATCATGTTTTTTATATTGCACCTTCAACTTCATTTTGTTGCTCTAGCTATGTGACTTTTTTAAGTTTGTTATGATATATTGACAATTTCTGTCTAAAAAAATAACTAATATTTGTGTTTGGAGCAATGGAAAATAATTGAAGTAGATTGGGGACAATGTGAAGAATTCAATAGTTCAAGAGAAATCGAATACCTCATTTCCTTCTTTTCTCTTCTCAAAAGTTTAGATTGCCCTCATATTTCAATTTTTAGAGAAATTCTGCAAAAGGTTTAGTTTCATAACGGATGTTGCCTTAAATGTTTTTTCATCGATATAGTAGATCACTATTTCAATGAATAATTTGATCTTAAAACTTTTAAATTATTCATCTATAACATATATAAAAGTAAGCACAAATGAGTAAAGAGACGTCTGAAAAAATATAATATAAAATCTTGAGAACACAGGCTTTTACAAGTAAATAGAAAAATAATAATCTTGCATATGTAATTAATCCATAGAAATGAATTTGAGGAACTTACTTGATAAGCTCGTTAGTCCTCCACAAGATATACTCTTAAAAAAAACAAAAGAAAACAAGAAGTTGTTGCCTATGATAGAGAAGAAGAACTAATTCTTTATTTATAGGGTTACAGAACTTTTTTCATTTCAGTGGTTCCAAATGAGTTACATCATATCTTCTTTGCTTACGAAACCATTGGCTATTGAAGTTGACTGATGTTAATGAAAAGGGTCTAAGTGTAACCTAAATCATATAGAGGGAGAGTACAAAAATAATAAAATTTAAAAATATTTGAGAACGAGATTGTCTTGAGAGCGTTATATTATATACAAGTAGACGAGTATTTACCCATAAAATTTAATAAAATTAAAATATAAAAAAAATTAAATTTTGTAGTTGAGGAGTAAAAAGATGCTGACACATGTTTTTATATTAAGGATAATCAAAAGGGATAAGTATGATAAGTGGATATTATGAAAGGAAACTCGAATAGTCTGTTAACGAATGGACCAAACAATTGGACAGAAGTTTGGTGGATAGAGTAAAATGCTCTCAACAGTTAGAAATCTCAAGTCCCGTAGTGGGTAAGTAATGCTAGTATTTACAACATAGTATCGGACATGTTGGGGTACCTGTTGTTACCCACTAATACTCACGCCAACCCATAATTGCCTCGACCACGGCAATACCAGTTGCTGCTAACCACGAGCCGCTTGTCCCAACATTAACTGGACAAATGTGATGTTTTCCCAAATGCAGCTTGGACGCGGCCATCAAGGAGGACTGCAATAGTCAAGACGAAAGGGGACTCTCAAGGTTAAGGATTGCGACTGGTTATTGCGGGACTATGACCCTCGAGAAGGCCATGTACGTGATGCCCCCATTGCACTTTTACCCAGGATCCTCCCTTTCCTTTCTGAATCCCCTTCCTCAAGACCTTTGTTAAGGTACCTGATAAGGGAAACTCAGATAGTTTTGGTCTTTCAACCACCAATTCACATGTCTCATTATCACATATGTTGATTCAGACCAATGACCCCCAATTGCCTTAGGAGTCCCTCCGGATCCTAGTCAAAATGGACTAAGGCTTCATGTAGTTATTATTATTTTACTCCATCCATCTTATTTAACTCACTGATATTTTATAGTTATTTAGTACTACTTATGATCCTGTAGGTTAGGATTTTAGGAAAAGAGTGAAATGACTTTTCTTTGATATTATTCTATTGTTGTGGTTTCCGGTTGTTCATGCTAAACTTTTCCAACACTCTGAGTAGCCCAATGGACAAGGCCTATGTATGAGGCCCCATTCCGAAGTTGACAAGCATGTTTGTCTATCTCTGTTCCTTAGTTCTCCTTTGAGGAGGGTCATATTGTCCTGTCTCTAGATGGGACCCCTCCTCTTAGTCTAATGGACCAGTTGAGCAATGGTGTCCAGTAGGTTGATGATATCATTTCTGTCAGCTGTTGAATCCCAACCTTGTGTCCAGTTTTCGTAATGAGGGAGGCGAGTCATACCAAGGTTGCCCCCATACCTCTGCGGTGTCACTCTTCTCTGTCGTCGGTCAAGGGTAGGGGTGTTAATCAAGCCAAGCTCGACGAGCATCACCATGCTCAGGCTCAGCTTGACATTTTGGGAACCTGCTCAAGCTCGACTTGAGCTCGAACATCAAGCTTATTTTTTAGCTCAAGCTCGGCTTGACAAAAAAATGAAAAGTTCAAACTTGGCTTGATTAGGCTTGTTTGCTGTTAACAAACTCAAATCCGAGCTCTAGCTTGTATAAAGTTTGATCCAAAAATTCGAATTCAAGCTTGCGTAAAAAAATGCACATGCACTGATGCACCCAACACACATTGATGCACATCATCAACCAGAAAAATTGTTCATAAACAACTAATTAAACAACCAACCACATGCACTATCAAGTGCCAAGTGCCAGCAAAAAAATTAAAAATGAAGTTGTCAAGTGCCAACAAAAAAAATTAAAAAGAAGGATATTATTTCTTGGAGGAGTATGATTCATGGGTGTATTGAAAATGAGTGCCCCCAAATAGCACTGAATTTGTTTGCTGAAAATGATTCAAGGGTGTATTGAAAATTGAGGAAGTAANAGCAAAAAAATTAAAAATGAAGTTGTCAAGTGCCACCAAAAAAATTAAAAAAGAAGGATATTATTTCTTGGAGGAGTATGATTCATGGGTGTATTGAAAATGAGTGCCCCCAAATAGCACTGAATTTGTTTCCTGAAAATGATTCAAGGGTGTATTGAAAATTGAGGAAGTAATTTGAGCATCTTTACAAGCAGAAAAACTTAAGTTTGGATTGGGATCTCATTGTCTTGTTTTGAAATGTGGGTTTTTGGCTTTTGTTTTCACAGCAACTACACTTCTTCAAATGTATGCAAAATTTGTGAAGTTGGGTCGGCTAGAATTTTATTTAATCAAATAAAATGAAGGGTTAGTAGCATCAAGCAGCAAACGAGAGATGGGTTGTTCATGTCTACCTGATCTCGGGTTGAGAGATGGACGAGAGAGATTTCACAAAGAATCACTATAGAATCACCGAAACATATGAATAATCACCGAAGCACTAGAGAATCACCGAAGCATATGAAGAATCACCGAAGAATCGCACTGTGACAAATGAGAGATGGAGTTGAGGGCCTAGAGGCTTCACTGCTTCGAGATTCAGAGAACGACGCTTCTTCAGATTTGGGTTTGGGGTGTATAAGGGTTAGACAGGTAGATATATATCATGTCCTCATTGTTGGATCACTTTGGAATGGACGGCTATAATTGGACCACTAAAAAATAATAGTAAAAATAGGTTAAAAAATATCAAGCTTAGTCAAGCCTGTCAAGCAGCTCGAATTCAAGCTCGAGCTCGGCTCGTTTATAATCAAGCCTAAAATTGTGTTCATACTTGACTTGTTAACAATATTCGAACAATCTCGAACAAGCCCAAAACGAGCCGAGTTCGAGTAGCTCAGTTCGATTAATAGCCCTAGTCAAGGGTCCCTTTTGCCACTTTCAATGTGATGAGAATGTGTCCCACCCTTCTACAGGATTGGGCATTGTTGCGGCCCTAGGCGTCTGTCGCAGCGCTGATGCCTACTACGGTGCTGGAATATTGTCGTTGCACTATTGTTTGTATCTGCTAGACCTTGTTAGACCCCACTATCATGTAAGTTGATAATTCTTGCCACTTGTCCTTCTACAGTGCAAACATGTGTCCTTATTTNCAGCCCTAGGCGTCTGTCGTAGCGCTGATGCCTACTACGGTGCTGGAATATTGTCGTTGCTCTATTGTTTGTATCTGCTAGACCTTGTTAGACCCCACTATCATGTAAGTTGATAATTCTTGCCACTTGTCCTTCTACAGTGCAAACATGTGTCCTTATTTTTATCAAGTATTATAAATTTTATGCACAACTCTGTGATAAAATATTTAATTTATNATTCTTGCCACTTGTCCTTCTACAGTGCAAACATGTGTCCTTATTTTATCAAGTATTATAAATTTTATGCACAACTCTGTGATAAAGTATTTAATTTATATATATATTGATTATATGGTCCTTAAAATAATAATTATAGGTTACAAATATCATTCTAGTTTGATATATATCTTTATGTAAGGATTAATATTTTTTAAATAAAAATTTTAGTAATAATGAGTAAACATATAAGTTAATAATAGTGCGAATTCACATATTAAAATTTTGAATTTATGGAGAATTCAGTCTCAAAGCACGAATGTTTTGAAGGATTATGTGACTGAAAGGTCTAACAACGGCAATAAAAAAAAATATTTTTTGGCCACGTTTCTAATTTTTCTTCCTCTAAATATAACGTGAAACATAAAAAACTGACTTCTTTTATTATTTTACTTCAGTTATTATTTTTACAATCATTGGTAACAAATAAATCAAAATAAGATTTATGGTCATGAATTATTAGAAGGTATGATACTGAAAACACTTTAACTCAATAATGCTTTTTCCCTATTTTTTGGTATTATAGCCTTATCATATTGTAACAAGTTATAATTGTAAGGAATAAGAATCTAATTTTTACCACGGTCAAAAATGCATCGGTTACGATTTCCTCTATCCTTCTTGTAATATTTGAACACTAGCAATAATTTCATGCTCAAAGATACTCTATAATATAAATAATTTAACATTGGTCATACAATATTTATGTTTTAA